CAATTTAAATATAATCTACCAAAATCCAACCAGAAGTGTTGTGATGGTCCGATCGAGGTGCAACTTGCTATGGGACATTTAACCAAATATCAATGGGGTGTGTATATATTTGAGCTCGTGCACACAACTCTTGTTTTTTAATTAATTAAAAGTTGTATGCAGTACAATCATTCAACACGGCTAAAAAAAACAATTCAAAGAAATTATTAAAAGCTGAAAATTACCATGACAGTCATGCCCGTGATGAGTCAGAATAAACTTCTGGCCACAGCTGTAAGTGCTTAACAACATAAGAGCATATGTGACGTTTGTAAAACTTGCAGCTCTTTTTGTGCTTCATTCAAATCCCAAATCATAAACATGAAGGTAAGATGATTTTGTTTGTGTTATATGAAAGTAAATTAAACATCTTTGGGTTTGGGCTGCTGATCAGAAGCTATGAGCAGCTCTGTTCACCTTTTTATTTGCAGGAATCTGTAATTTATTTCTGATTTGGGGCAACGCAAACTAAACTGCCATGACTAAGGAGTAAAGTAAAATGAGGATAGGTAAAAGCTGCAGAGTGAAACATGATCAGTGGCACACCTGCGCTGCTGCGGCGCTCATTATTAATGGAGCCGAGCGTCTAAATAGACAGGTCGTCAGTTTATTTATGTAGCACGTTTAATCACAACAGATGTCGACTTCTCAAAGTCTGGTGCTTGGAACTGCTGCCCGTCAACTGAGCGTGGGATATAAAATTGTAGCATTGCTGATCGTTGGCGAAGGGCAGATCCGTGCAAGAACTTCTAAGTGAAATAAATTGACTTTAATATGAATCAGTGAGAGTGAGATCAGTGAAATTTGTTCATATGAGAGCCTCCCAGTCAGGACTGCAGCAGCAGGGAGAAGAAACAGCAGTAGGCCTGTACATAATAGTAGTTTTCATTTTCAGTCAATATTACAGGATAGAGAAAATGCTACTCTTGGCCACATGACTCCTCTCAAAGGGCTTAGATTCACAAACGTGCTACGTGATACACTGCTACACAGAATCAGCATTGTCTTGCAATGGTCACAAGTCAAGCAATATAAGACGTATCAATGTACTACACGGGACACGCACTCACTGATGAATAAAGACGTCCTGAAAATCATCATTAAGCATGTCACACCCGACATGCTACATGTTACAGCTGGCTGTTTTTATGTTGATATCAGCCACTGCACTGAGAGTGTCAGTATCCCACCAAACTGCTGACTCGTCATGAATCACGCCTGACTTTACATCGGTTTGGCCTTGCAAGTTAAATTATTATTATGTTTTCACAGCTCGAGTCTTTTGCCCATTAAAAATGAACAGTGCCTCTGTAATTCTATTCAAAAAGATTCATTTTTAGGTTAGACTGAAACTGTTTCAGAGCTCTGAGTGAATTTCAGGTGTCAAGTTTGACTGAAAGTTAGTTGGGTTTTTGATGTTGTTGTTTTTAACATATAATCTGGTGCTGTGTTCACTTCTGCATCTATCTGTGTGATTGTGTTTCTAATAGTTACAGTGGCTCCTGCTGTTTTAATGTTTTACCTGGCTCATTTAAAATAAAAGTAAAATAATCTATTTTTGGTTAAAAAAAAGAATTTTTTTTAGCTCATATATAAAATGACTTTGGCTCTTTATTTGTTTTGCATGTATGCCAACATCAGCTTGCTCACAGATACACTTTAAAGTTATTATAAGCAGACAATGATTCAATTTAAGCTCAGTAATTACTTCAGCATGATCCGAGTTATGTAAAAATGACTATGGGCTCATCTGCGTGATTACAGATGCTCTGCAGCACTATATGATTCAGCTCCACTGCTGCAAACCCAGATTCAAACTTTGCATTGCCTCACTCCACAGTAGCCGCTGTTATTAGCCAGATTTTTCGTATTAAGATCTTGATCATTTAGATTTGGAATGACTGCGATGCTGTATTTGAGTTATTCTTATAAAAGCTAAGTTATCCTGGAGTACTGGTCTGAAGTAACCCGTAGCACAGCTGTGACTGAACAGGTCTGGTTACAGTGAGGTGTCATAATGACCGTCTGTGGGGATTAAATCAGTCCTGCTGTGTGCACAGCTTCAGTTTGTTTCCTGTCGCAGCTCTTACCCTGTCTCTGCTCAGATCCACCGCTGGCACGCGGCTCACATGTCCGGTGACGGTGTCGTTGGACAGGTACACTCCCAGGACCACCGCCAGCACCAGAACACCGAGGAGGCAGAACAGCAGCACCCGGGCCCGGGGCATCCGGACCCGGTCACAGCCGGGCAGCGAGCCGCCGCCCCCGCTGCTCTGCTGGAGCGGCTTGAACCTCCGGCCGGACCTGGACATGACTGAACGCGCAGAGCCGCTCCTGGCGGTCCTTACAGCTACGTGTCACAACCGGCTTTGCAGAACAGCGGAGGAGAGAGAGTCACACAGGAAGTGGAGGCTGTTGAGAAGCAAAGCCGAGGGGGACATCCGACACAGCACGCTGCCCTCCTGCAGCACAGCGGCAGCCCATCATTAGCTGCAGCTCGGCGGACTCCGGGGGTCGCAGCTCCTAGACGCAGCGGCCCCGCAGCTCGAAGACACGCCGGACATGTTGGAGATGTTCAGAGGAGCTTTTAATCCATCATAAATTACAACAGAGACACAAACTGCCGCCTGTAACGCCTCACTTTCTGTCGTAAAACTCGTTTTAATCCACTTACAGCTACATCAGAGAAACACTACAAAAATGAAGTAACGAAGCAAGCTTATCATAACTCCACTGCCGCGTTATTCCTTTTAAAAATGTTTAATTTTAACCCCTTCTCTTTACGGGACATCTCCACTGAAAACTGCACTGCTTCTTCTTCTGTGGTGCCTGTAGGGGGGTAAAGACGTAATCGCCACCTATGGAGCGCAAAAGGAACTACAGTAAACAACACAACACTTTGTTAGGTACATCTTCTTGTTCTTGCCTTCAGATTGCCCTTAACCCAAGCACTTCAATTCGGCTTCCTGGAAAGTGTTGGAAAATTTGAAGGAGAACATTAATTTGGGACTTTTATTTGTATTTTCATAGGTTTTACAGACATTCCCCGTGGCCATTACCACCAAAGTAAATAAGTAATAGATTTCTGTCATTTTATACACTCACTACTTACAGTTTAAGCCTAAAGAGTCAGATTTCTTTCATTTGCTACAGCAGCATTTCTTTAACATGTAACGTGTAAAACTGAGACATACAGTTAGGATTGCAGTTCTTTTTCTTATATTAAAATATCTCAGGGATTATATGTATCACTAAGCTTCAGCTTCCTGTTTTTAGCTGACAGGAGTGGCACCCTCCTTTTGTTGGGGGGTGGCACATTCATCTGCTAGTGTAGACAGACCTACAGTCATCTGCTGCTGTAGTTCGTCTTGCACATGCAGAGATGCTCTTCTGCATCAATTTGAATTTCAGCAGGTTGTATTGATCATGACTACATGCCTAAATGCAGTGAGTTGGTGGCATGTGATTGACTAATTAGATATTTGCAATAAGCCGTTGAATAGAATTGAATACAATGCCTTTATTGTCACAATACAGACATACAATGAGATACAGAGCATCTCCTACTCAGTGCAAACATGTATATAGTGCTGCACAGTTATTGCAACACTATATACAAATGGACAGTATTTACAGAAAAAAAATATAAAATGTGCAAATATACAATCTGATAAAATTAAATAAATCAGTCAATATGTAAATAAATAGTGTTGTGTATATACAGTTTGGGTTATTGCACAGTGATGGTTTATAGAGGGAAATCCTTGGAATGGGGGGTGAACTGTGTTTATCAGTGCATGTGTGAGTTCAGGGTGGTTATGGCTTTTGGGAAGAAACTGTTCTTGAGTCTGTGGGTCTTTGTGCTATTGCACCTGTAGCGCTTCCCTGAGGAAGCAGGTTGAACAAGTTGAAACCAGGGTGGGAACTGTCTTTGATGATGTTTGTTGCTCTGTTGAGGCAGTGGGAGGAATAAATGTCCATCAGAGAGAGGAGAAGGCAGCCGATGATCTTCTGTGCTGCCTTGACTACACTCTGAAGCCTCACTCCATCTGCCTTAGTGCAGGTGTAGGTGTGCCCAATGAAGTGGCCATTGAGTGTATATTTTCTACTGCTTCTGCAGCACATTAAACTTCAGTGCTTTGCTGTGACAAAGCAAACATGTTTTATTTATTACAGTTTCTCCGGATTTTTAAGTCTTCTGACTCTTTAAGGATTTAAGTTTAAATCAAACCTTTTAAACTGATGCATCAGAAACGTGTAATTCACTAATATAATACTTTGACATGCAGTTATTATTTATACTTTGGTTCTTTGTAAATTACCACTATAATATGTGTTCTTACGATCCAAAATCCTGCCTCTGAAAACAAAACAGACATATATACAAACGGAAAACGTACAATAAACCCCAAACACACCATTTTTTCTGTACTAACTCGGGAATTTTTAACCTTTTCAGACAAATACACCTCATGTACACATACATGTGACATTTTCCTGTTAACAGGATAGTTTACTTTGACTGTAAAAGTTGCTTTTTTGTGTGTTTTGACCCACTGTTATGACACACTTCTCTGTCCCGCCAGATTTGAAGTCTCGCGATGTTGATTGGCCGAGATGCCTGTCCATCTCTTCACTTCCGTAGTGACGCATTCCGTACAAATAGGAGGTGAGCGGGTTTTCTGGGGCTCTTTCGCGCGCTTCTACAGCGAGCAGTCCGCGAGTTAGTGTCCAGCAGCTCGCTGTGATCCCGCGAACAGCTTCGACTGTACCTGGAGAGCTGCTCACACCCCCGCCTCTGAGACAGAGACGCCTGAGCCCGCCAACATGCATGTGATCAAAAGAGGTGAGCGCTGCGATGTTGTAGCAGGCCTCGGTTAGCTTCGTGTGGAGTTACCGGTGATTCTGTCTGCTGTGGGGTTACATCATTTAGCGACAGGCTGGTTAACCTGTACTAGTGAGGAGCTGGTTAGTGCTGCACCGTCCCCCTGACGTGGAGGTTAAACGTGTTTAAGTGATGGTGGTGGGGTCGGTTGTAGTTTGACAATATGGACTTAGTCTTTGTCTTAAAAGAGGCGCCAAAAGTTTTTATAGCCTCGCAGTGTAACGTCATAAAGAAGATCTATAAACCCTTACAACACCTCCTCTTTGAAGGTAGTTTTGACAGTGTGTTCAGAGTTTGATCTGAACTGTAATGTTCAAACCCTACAGTGTTGAGCAGGTCTTGGCGATGATTGGGAGAAAGAACTCCCAATCATCAAGAAGAGAAATCTGTTCTTTTCCTGTTAGGAGGGTTCAGGGAGGGGCAGCCATCGACTGGTTGGAGGATGAGGGGAGAAGGAAGGGAAAAGGAGCAGAGGGAGGAAAAAATAACAACTAAACAAGAGAAGAGTGTAGAAAAAAGATTAATGACAAAACACAAAGAAAAACGATTAATAGAGACGAAATGCATCATAGGAAGAAACTTTACTTTTGGGTTGAGCTTCATCTAAAGATATGATTGTCATCTTCATGCCTTTTTGAGCCTCAGTGTAGCCCTTTGTTATCTGAAACAAGCAGGTTTAGTTTTCTGCCTTTTAAATAAACTGTCCTGTGATTGGTGCTGTGGACTCTGACTCAGCCCAAGACCAGCCTGCCATTTTTCCAGCTTGTGTAGTTATGAGGGCCCAGACTTGGTTGATTCCTTTATGAGGTCAGATCCCTTTGGTGACGGGATCACATTTATCTCTGGATCTAAGGTTCAGGCCAAAGTTCCACCTGCTGACAAAATGCAACCAATCCTGAATTTGGTGGTTGTACCTACTGCCTATCGTACCCAGGTATCCTTAGCACATGACCATCCATGGTCAGGACATTTGGGAGTTAACAAGACCTACAGCAGAATTCTGAAACATTTCTTCTGGCCAGGACTGAAATCTGATGTTGTTCAATACTGCCGTACTTGCCATGTATGTTCATTTAAGAACATTATGACTCTCTCAGGTAATGAATTTTTTAAAATCCTCCAGTAGCATTAACTCGCGCAGACTCATAATCATCACCAACTCTGTTAGCAGCACACCACTTATCAAAAAGAGCCCCTTTTTCATGTGCAAACTCCACATATGTTTGACTGCTGGACTCTTGTGGTTCCTAAATTTCTGCCTGTAGGCCTCAGGTACCAGTTCATAGGCACGTACAATTGTTTCCTTCAACACTTCATATTTCATGCTCTGCTCTAGCGAAAGTGAAGCTACTACCTCCTGAGCTTTGCCCGCTAATTTACACTGAAGTAAAAACGCGTTTCTCTATTTTTCAGATGGACGCCAAGAGCGCGTCATGTTCGACAAAATCACATCTCGCATCCAGAAGCTTTGCTACGGACTCAACATGGAGTTTGTGGACCCAGCCCAGATCACGATGAAGGTCATCCAGGGTTTGTACAGCGGCGTCACCACTGTGGAGCTCGACACGCTGGCGGCGGAGATCGCTGCCACTCTCACAACCAAGTACCCCGACTACGCCATCCTCGCAGCACGCATCGCCGTCTCTAACTTGCACAAAGAGACGAAGAAGGTGTTCAGCGACGTCATGGAGGACCTGTACAACTACATCAACCCCCTGAACAAACGCCACTCCTCCATGATTTCGAAAGACACACTCGACATTGTTCTTGCAAACAAAGACCGCCTTAACTCGGCCATAATCTATGACAGAGATTTCTCCTACAACTTCTTTGGCTTCAAGACTCTGGAGCGCTCCTACCTGCTAAAGATCAATGGCAAAGTAGCTGAGCGTCCGCAGCACATGCTCATGAGGGTGGCTGTGGGAATCCACGGGACGGATATCGAAGCAGTCATCGAGACCTACAACCTGCTGTCAGAGAAGTGGTTCACCCACGCCTCCCCGACCCTCTTCAATGCTGGAACCAACAGGCCGCAGCTGTCCAGCTGCTTCCTGCTCGCCATGAAGGATGACAGCATCGAGGGGATCTACGACACGCTGAAGCATTGCGCCCTCATCTCCAAATCAGCTGGAGGGATTGGCGTGGCAGTCAGCTGCATTAGATCCACGGGGAGCTACATCGCCGGCACCAACGGCTGTTCCAACGGGCTCGTCCCAATGTTGAGGGTTTACAACAACACAGCGCGTTATGTTGATCAGGGGGGGAACAAAAGACCTGGCGCCTTCGCCATGTACCTGGAGCCCTGGCACTTCGATGTGTTTGACTTCCTGGAGCTGAAGAAGAACACGGGAAAGGAGGAGCAGCGAGCCAGGGACCTGTTCTACGCCCTGTGGATCCCTGACCTCTTCATGAAGCGGGTGGAGAACAACGAAGACTGGTCCCTGATGTGTCCGGCCGACTGCCCCGGGCTGGATGAGTGCTGGGGGGAGGAGTTTGAAGAACTCTACACCAGATATGAGAAGGAGGGGAGGGTGAAGCGTGTGGTGAAGGCTCAGCAGCTTTGGTATGCAATCATCGAGTCGCAGACAGAAACCGGGACGCCGTACATGGTCTACAAAGATGCCTGCAACAGGAAGAGCAACCAGCAGAATCTGGGCACCATCAAGTGCAGCAACCTCTGCACGGAAATCGTCGAGTACACTAGCAAGGACGAGGTGGCGGTTTGCAATCTGGCCTCTGTCGCTCTCAACATGTACGTCACCCCTGAGCGGACTTATGACTTTAAAAAATTGGCATCCGTGACCAAAGTAATTGTCAGGAACTTGAACAAGGTTATCGACATCAACTACTACCCGGTGGAAGAAGCCAGGAGGTCGAACATGCGGCACAGGCCGATAGGAATCGGGGTCCAGGGATTGGCTGATGCCTTCATCCTTATGCGTTATCCCTTTGAAAGCCCCGAGGCTCAACTGCTCAACATCCAGATCTTTGAGACTATGTATTATGCCGCTTTGGAAGCGAGCTGCGAGTTGGCCGCCGAGCTCGGCACCTATGAGACGTATGAAGGCTCGCCGGTGAGTAAGGGCATTCTCCAGTACGACATGTGGGAGAAGACGCCAACGGACCTGTGGGACTGGAAGCTGCTGAAGGAGAAGATCGCCAAACATGGCGTGAGGAACAGCCTGCTGCTGTCCCCAATGCCCACGGCCTCCACCGCCCAGATCCTGGGCAACAACGAGTCCATCGAGGCCTACACAAGCAACATCTACACCCGCCGGGTGCTCTCGGGGGAGTTTCAGATCGTCAACCCCCACCTGCTCAAAGACCTGACAGAGAGGGGCCTGTGGAATGAGGAGATGAAGAACCAGCTGATCGCTAACAATGGCTCCATCCAGGTAATCATCAGCAGGAAGGAAAACCATTAAAGATGACAGACATCTCTAGGTTCCAGCTTCTTAGGTGTGAACTTCATTCTGTAGACTAAAATATTGATTCCCAAACATTTCCTTTACAGGAAAAGATAAAATGCCACTTACTGCTTTTAAATATATACATTTAAAGCTTCAAGACTCTTGGAAAAAAGCATAATGAAATTAGGCAATACTCCATCTCTTTGCTGTTTTTCATCCTCTTTCATCTTGAATAATTAGTCTTCTAGTTCATCAATTAAAAAACGAATTTCGATTAGGTGCCACAAAGTAAATCACTGAACAGTCAAATATTTAGAGGATCCAAAGCAATCTGTGAAAACACGAAGAAGGAAATCAGTCATCTCAGTCTAACATTCTGAAATGGTCCAATTATTTTTGTAACTATTTCGTTTCCACAGCAAATTGTTTCTTCCTGTTAAAGGGGAGTTTTTCCTCCCCACTGTCACGCAGTGCTTGCTAGGTCATCTGTTGGCGTTTTCTCTCAATTGTTGTCGTTAGCTTACAAAATAAAGCACTGTGACATGAGTGTTGTTGTGATTTGGTGCTATTTAAATAAAATTGAATGGAAAATGGTTTTAAGCATCACATTAGCCCTAAATTCTGGTCTGTCCCAAATACCATCAGCTGAGAAGTTTAAGATGTTTTAAGCTTAAAAAAAAGTCTTTTTTCTTGTTTTTACTCCTTTGTGTTTGAACCTGAAACTTTAGTTTTAATTATTATTATTTTTTAAAATTTTGACAGAACATCAATGAGATCCCAGATGATCTGAAGCAGCTCTACAAAACCGTGTGGGAGATCTCACAGAAAACTGTAGTCAAGATGGCCGCCGACCGTGGGGCCTACATCGACCAGAGCCAGTCCCTGAACATCCACATAGCAGAGCCGAACTACGGCAAGCTGACCAGCATGCACTTCTACGGCTGGAAGCAGGTGAGTGTCGAGCTGCACGAGGAGGAGTGAAACCTCACCGTGAAGACATGTTGGGGTTTAAAATAACTCCGTCTTTCTCCCACCGCAGGGTCTGAAGACTGGGATGTACTACCTGAGGACCAAGCCTGCCGCCAACCCCATCCAGTTCACCCTGAACAAGGAGAAGCTGAAGGAGGCACAGCCGGCCACGTCCTCGGAGCAGGAGATCAAAGAGCGCAACACGGCGGCCATGGTGTGCTCTCTGGAGAACAAGGACGAGTGCCTGATGTGCGGCTCGTAAACGTTTCCGACCTGCTAAAACTCAGAGGTTTACTTGTCAGTATTGTAAAATAAAACTTTTTGCACTTTCTGCAAATTGTATGTTTGAATTTTTTTAAATTGCTAGTGCTAGGGTTCTTTTTTTTTCCGTATTATTATACGGTCTTATAAAGAAGCTGAATTGGCACGATATAAAATGCAATTTAAAATAAGGCTTGAACTCTGACTCATTCAAAGCTCCTTTGCATTTATTAATGATTAATAAATGTTTATATTTTCCTGTGTAGTTTTCCTGTTAACAGCATTATTTTGAACGAGCGATCATGCAAAAATACAAATGACAGGATCAACCAGCCAAAAACTATTTATTCCTGCTAGTCTCACCGTTAAGAACCTGAAATCGCCAAATATCTTTCTGTAAGTTAAAATTAATTTTAGGTCATAAAAAGCTTAATTGGAGTTTAAGCCACGAGGATTTATTTTTTTCCCCAATTGTACTGTTCATGCAGCAAAAATCTGCTTCAAGTTTAAGTGAAACGCATTAATTTACTAACTCCTTACAAGGAGTAAGGAGTAACAGTCGTTTTCTAAAATCTGAAACTAAAAGGTTATTTTTGAACCGCAGCTCAAAAACTCAAAGACCAGAAACCAGCAAATGTTTTGACTTATTTTTAATATATTTTTTTTATAAAACAATGAAAACATAATTTACACTTTTAAAATGTACACGTTATTACAACCAAAAGGAAAACCAAACCCTTGCTTCAGTTATTCCTGCTGAATGCAGGAAACATCGATGGAAAGAGGAACAATGAGGCTTGAGGAAAAAGTAAAGGAAGGAGGAATTGAAGAGAAAACACAGTACCCTCTCATCTTCACTATTGTCTGCAACAGTGACCAACATGTCAAAAATAAATTATAAAAATATTAACAACAAAAAACAAAGAGAATAACTAGTCGCACAATATTACCAGTAATAATGCATTATTGGATTTGTTCAATAGGGGTCCTTGTGTATGCTTTAAATAGCTTAAAATTATACATAACAAGATTTATATATATATGTAAAAAACAAAAACAACCTTGCCCCTTTTACATCAGCAAACTAAAGATTAAGACTTGAAGACACTAAAATCACAGCTACACCTGCAGAGCTGTGTGGATGGAGGACATCCTGCTAACAGGAACCCGACTGAAGCTGCTTAAAGACAAAAAATGACAAAGGAAAAACTGGGATGACAACAACCCAGAGAAGGAGGCGGTGGGTTTAAAGCGGGTGCTGCAGAGAGAGAGAGGAGCGGGGGTGGGGTGAAGAAGGCGTTAGTTATCCTCCGGGGTCAGTGACAAAAAAAAAAAAAAAGGTTTTATTTGGCTCTTCCAGCAATTTGAAACATCCTGCTGCCCAAAAACATTTAAAGGGACAACGGTGCAGACAGCAGGGTGACGTCTGTCATCATCAACCCCCCCTCCCCCTCCAACGGTCGAGTGTCGTTAACAGCATCCTGAGGAACCTGAGTGGAAACTTTAAACAGATCCAGTTAAAGAGAAACCTCCTGTTTTATCAGAGAGATGAGAGTGCAGTACAGTTTTAGCAGGGCGGAGGGGCGAGGGGGTTGGGGTGTACTGTCTATTCACTGCCAGCATTCAAAAATATGTTTCTGTATGAAAAATACAGTACACAGTATCATTTGAGAGCACTGTCGCAGTATAAAACACAAGAAAAGTCCTCTCAAACAAGCACATCTGTCCTGATGTGACGGGCTTTCAGGTACAGTACATGTTTCCTGTGAGCGCGCTCAGCCGGAGACGGAGCTTCACTGGATCACAAATACATGAAGACTTGAGAACACTTTGAGAAAATACACTTATTTACTTTCTTGGTGAGGCTGTTGCACTTGCTTTATGCACTCCAGTTCAGTTTGTGACGTCTTAAAACACAAAAACAACAACCGGCTCGCTCTGCTGCCCGACACACGAAATCATAAACAACACAAGGTTTGTTAAAGGACGTCGGCTAGAGGTTACAGCGACGTGATGGAAGCAATTTGATTTCACAAAAGCAAAAATAACATGACGTGTGTGAGCCATCGAATCACCTCATAACTACCAGCTCTTCTGAGAGCTGCCAGGAGCGAGAAGTTGGCTGATTTTTAAACATTTCTCCAGTTTTACAGTAATCCAGCTACAGCAGTTGGTACGTCCAATAAAAAAGGTAAAAATGAAAGTTTATTCGGCATGCTTTATTCCCCAAAACGTAAAGAATAATATGGTCAAAACTGGGCTCATGTGGGGCTACGCCAACCACATCACTTCAGAATAAGCTCTTCACCAGAAAGCAGGTAAGTGTAACTCTCAAAATTCTGCAACTAAAACCAAACAAAGGACCCGCTTAAGGTTAAAGCAACCATCATTTCATTCAGGTCTGAGATGATCGGGCACTGCTGAGGACGCTGCTCTGTGTGGGAGATACGACGCCGCCG